TGAATTTCAAAGTAACTGTCAATTTCTTTTAAACAGACATTTGTGTGTCTACAGGTAAGAAGAATATTATATTTTAATTTTTTTTTCCATATCTGGCAGCTCTTAGGATTCCCAGGTGTCACTGTTTCTGGTTGGATTGTATAATTCTGGAGGGGTATTGTTTTGTTTTCTTAAGACATGATCAAAAAAAAAGAGATATGTAATATATTGTATTCACTGAATAGAGATGCTGAAAATGTTGAAGAGATTTTCCGAAAGCTGTCTAAGACTAGCTTTATAATGGATTCTTTAGATTAAAAAAAATAATAAATCCAGGTTTTAAGTAAGCATTGCTTTTATGCATCCAGAATGTGTCAGTAAGAACAACACTATTAATCAAGCCAGGCTACTACCAGTTTTCATACCAGTCATTTTATATTTAAGTTATATTTATCATGTGCTGAATGTCATACACACATGGGAGGCTGCTTGTCCTTTCCTGAAAATCTTAGTCACTTGCAAAGAAAATGCATTTTATTTGCTGAAGGCTGAATAGGCTCTTCAAACATCTGCACGCTGTTAAACAATCCAGAAAACCCCTTCTCCACAGTCACTGAGCCTTTTGTTTCTAAAGATCAACCTCCTCAATCTGGAGCTAGGAAAGGACTTATTTTTGTACTTGTATCACAGAGGAGAAAAAGGAGCAGCTTGTTAGTAGCTCTCATTTGGACTGTAGTCACTGCAGCCTGACTAAGATCTTCTATTGCATTTCTTCATCTCAGGAGAGAGAGGAACACCTCGTTCCCCACATGCAAGCCTCTTGGTTTAAAGAAATAAATACTGAGCTGGAAGTCTAATAAAATGAACTCCCTCCCTTTTTAATTCCCATCAAATACAGAGAGACAAAATGCGAGGAGGTATAGGTGAAAAAAAAAACAGCTTGCTGACAAGGAAATAGCAGCAAAAACAATTCCAACAGAACGGTTCAAATCAACGACAGAGAGAGAAATCACTTCTGGTCCCCCTGCCCTTGCACTCCCTTTTGCATACAGACAAAACCAATGGTCAATATGTGCTTCCCTGCCCCGGGGAGAACAAAGAATGAAAAGTAAAACGAGGGAAAAGAGGGGAGGCAAAGCAAAATGTGGAGAGCCGGTTCATTCCAATCGGGCGTTGTTCTGCTGGAGCGCTGGCTCGGCGATGGCAAGGACCGGCTCTCGCCCTGCCCGCAGCACAGCGGCGCTGGGATGCAGCGTTATCCCGGGCTCTCCGGGGCTCTCCCGGCGGCAGCAGATCCAGGCTTGGTTGGGAGTAGTGGGGTCCAGCGGGCCCAGGAGTGCTGGGAGCAGCGGCCGAGACCCCAGCAAAAAGACGGTGCTGCGTGGGCTTTCTATAGGCACCAGCCTCCTGTGGTCCACGGAAGAGAAAAAGTTCTGTTCCCCCTTTAGCTTTTCCTTATTTCTTCCCTTCCCTTTCCAGCTCAGGATGGAAGGGGGAGCGGGGCGGGGAGACGGACGGGGGTGGGTTCGTTCTTAAAGACACAGTCCTCTGAAACAACGCTGGAAAAAAGGGAATAAAATACAGAAACCCTCCCATAACTATGACACAAGCGCAGTCCCAGGTGCTGCTTTCCTGCTCTGTCAATAGACATTTCTATGCCAGCAGGACTGACAGCGATGGCTTTCTAATGACAGCATTTCACCTAGTGCCCTCTATGTTCTGATTTCAGCCCATTTGTGACAGAAGGAAGAATTGTATGGAGAACCTGGAGTGGTGGAGGAAGGAAGCAAGAACCCAAATTGTTGCCTGTTGATTCTTGATGTTTCATGGACCTCTGTTTTTACGGCCAGAATTGACCAATTGTACGATATACTCAGACTTTCTCTTCAGGGAAAGGAAGATAAAGGTTTACCTGCATGTGGTTGAACCTTTGACAGTAATAGCCTTTCACTGACTGACTGTATTTAAATGCTTCCGGGGATTTCTTCACTTCAGGTATTTCCCTTGGTTAAATAGGAGGTGAGGCTCAAATCATGTTGGATTTCTATTTAGAAGTTTTAAGACTTTAAGTTAGTCAATTACTATATTGCAGAATACTTTGCATTTTAAATTATATTTATTACAGGATGATTTCTGTTTGTTTTGAATTTTACCACTTCATTCATCTTACGGTTAAAAAAACACACACACAAAATCTTACTCAGTAGCTGTTGCTGCACTTGGTTTGAGCATTGCAAACAGTCCGTATTCCTTCATGAGAGCAAATGTGGATGCCCAGCAATTGCTTAAATGTAACATTAACCATTTGGCTGCTGATCTGATGTTTGAAAGCAGAGGAAATCTGCAAATTTCCAAAGTAGAATCAACCTGTGCTGAATGAATTATCATATTGGTGTCATGAAGCACTGATGCCTGAGGAAATTCAATCACTTCTCTTTTCTTTCATATGTGTCTTGGAAAGCCAGCAAAGAGCAGCACAGAGACAAAGAAATAATCACTTCTCCAGAAAATGGTAAGATATGCTAGTCCTGCAAGTATATATATATATATGTATGCTGTACTGTGAGTGTCTTCAAAACTGATTTCATTCATAGACAGAGCCCAGGACAGCAACACAATATTCCTTTCTCTTCATAAATCTTGTTTTATAAGCTCTATTGCCCTTGTTTTTCATAGCAACTGGCAGCAGGGCATAGTAAAGGCCAGCCTTGTGCAGGTGGCAGGGTGATAGATCAATGTCTTCTGCAAAAGCACTGCCTTTGGAAGTTCAGTTGCACCCAAGGCCTGTGCAGTTGCTCTGTCAGACCTGCAGCAACTCCCTGAATTATTTACATGGGAGTGGCAAGTGTCCTCATCATCCCCAGATCTTAAGTGTTTATTTATGTGCCACTATGGGCAGAAATTCATACTATCTTTGCTGAAGTCTCATATACAGTCTAGACCTCAGCTTAGGAAAGCCCATAACTGGGTACCAATGGGTCCAAAGACATACCAAGCTTTAGGCACCATGGCTTTAAAATCACGATTTAGAAAAATTAAATTCTTGGCTGAATAATAATGTGGACGGTACTTCATTGTTGCAAACACAGCTTAACAGGTAAGGCTCAATGCGTATTCCTGAGGAAGAGATGATCTGAAACAGAAGGTAATAATGGAGTCACCACTTCAAGTCTTAATGCTTTAGGATGGGAGGTAAGGCTGTTGCCGCTGTGGAAAAGTAGGAAAAGCTGAAAGGTAGACATAATTATCCTGGAATTTAGTCACATTAAAAAGGTGCGCATTTTAAGATTTAAACCATCAGGATCTTTGTCTGCACCATTGGCACCCGAGTGACAGACACCTTCGCGTCCTTGCTCCTGACAGGAGCTCGGCAGGGCAGGAACTGGGCATTGCAAACAGTCCTTATTCCTTCATGAGAGTGAATCTGGATGCCCATCTCCGACCGGGCACCGCAGCTCCCTGTGCCGGGCTCCCACCGGAGCGGTGGGGAACACCCTTCCTTTGGGGCTTTCCTCTGCGGAGTGTGGGTGTTACCCGCCCAGGTAGCTTCGTCTGACAGCGCTATGTTTCTTAACATGTCATGCTATTGGGAAAAATCTTAGAAAGACCTACATCACTAAATTTAAAGCGCTTTAATCCACCATTTACCAAGGTGACACGGCTGTTTTGACGGCTGACTGACCATCAGGAGAATTCGGTAAAAGCCGTGACTTTTAGGCTTAATTTTTATTGTTTATTTTTTTTTTTAAGTTGCGTTTTAAAATATTGTTTTAATTTTTTATTTTTTTTTAAATTTTGATCGACTCGGGAGAGGGCCCCTGGCGAGGCCTCTCCTTCCCCCCGCAGACGCCAGGTGGCGACATGGGGGCGGGAACCGCTGTGGCGGCGTGGGAGCCTCCGCCGGGACACCGCTGGAACACCACAGGGACACCGCCGGGACACTGCCGGAACACCGGCAGGACACCCCTGGAACACCGCCGGGACACCCCTGGGACACCGCCAGGGCACCCCTGGGACACCGACGGGGGTTTTTCCCCCCGAGAGTGCTGCGGCTTCACACCGGGCTGTGGCTCGGAGGAGCTGGAGGCGCTCGCCAGGGACGCTCGAGGCTGCGGTGTTGTTTTGGGGAGCAGGCGGGATCTGGGGGTGTCGGTCACTTTTGTGAGTTTGGCCAGTGCTTTTCGGTACCACACGGGCCCATCTGCCTCGAGCCTCACAGGTCCTGCACACCCCTCCCCGACATCTCTCCCAGCACACGCTCCCACCCTCCATCTCGAGGCCTGTGAAAACCGTGGCATTTTCCCTCTCAAACTGGGCCACATCAGTGCGAAACCAGTGGAAGGAAAACGTGTGGTGGGTCTGATTTAGGAAGACAGACTTCACTCTTGGGAGAGGGGAGAGAAAGGGAAGAATAGGTGTTTTAATTTTCCTGCATTAGAAAGGAAACCTCAACCTTGTTTCGTGTGTGTGTGTGTGTCTACCCGCAGGCAGCTTTTCTAGCCCCCCGCACTCCTGCCCTCCCACACCATGGTTGTGGCTGCCGTTTCCTGCCGTCTGTCCGTCTGTTCAGGCCTTGGGCTTTGCTGTTTTCTTACCAATTGGTAGTTTAAAGCCTCGCTCCACAGATTTCCTAGGATCAAATTCCGCTTCCCTCACACCTCCCAGGGTGCAGTTTCTGCTAAGCTGGAGCAGTTGATCAGTCACCAAAACATTAGGGACCTTCCTTGTAGGATGGTGGGGCAGAGAAGCCATGACACAGAGCAGGCCCGGAGGGATTTGCACAGTTCCTTCACAAACCACAGCTGTGCGTGGCCTTCCCTCATCTTTGTCAGAGCCTTGTGGAATGCTGCCACAGGGATGTGAAGTGTCCTACGTCAGTCCATTTCAAAACAGTGTGCTCTAGAGTGTTTATGTGATGCAGTTTCCTCTGCCACACAGAACCTGATGGGTGTTTGCCTGGAGCTGGATGTCCCGCAGCATGAGGTGAACAGTGAGCGATGGTTTTTCTCATACACCCTATGCTCTGGTGTCACTGTCAGTCCAGCTGCTGTCACTTCCACCAAGAGGAGCAGCCCCCTACTTGTTGGCAATGTCCTTTGTGTGATTGCACAGTGACCTGATCCAGCTGAGAGCCAGGAAAAACAAATAAAAAGTGCAGGGGGGCAGGGGGAAGTTAGTTTTCAATGGGATCAGTTCCTTGCTCCAAACACTTGCACAAGCGAAACAGAAGACTTGGCCTGGGCACAAGAAGAAACAGCGTGGGCACAGAGGGAACACAGTGTCCACATCAGCTAAAACTGATACTGGTATCATGTATGTCGAAAAATACCCTGAGGGCTCTTGATATGAAAGTTGTTGAGACATAATGTTCCACACCTAGGCACTTCTGAATTTACCTGGTAAGCAAGAAGTAGAGGAGCTGGTAGTGGTGGTATCATCACACCTTCACAAAGATTTTTTTTTTCTTGAAATGTACCACCTTTTACAGGGAGGGAGGGAGGAAGGAAGGAAGGAAGGAAGGAAGGAAGGAAGGAAGGAGAAACATCACAAACCAAAATTCTCGGGTTTTAAAATATGGCCATTATGTTCCTGGGTTGTTTTTCTAGTGCTGCACCATTAATGGAGAAGTCTTTTCCACTTCCCTTTCCCCTCTCCTCTTCCTGTGGCAAAATACAGATGGACCTTAAACGGGGGGGAGGGAGGGAAGGTGCCCTATTGATTCTTATGAAGATATTGCTTTTGTTTTTTTCTTTGTTACTAGATTATAGGATTGAAAACAGATGTTTCTTTTCTTTAAAACATGCTGTATAGCTTGTCTAAACCTAAGGAAAACAGCATTTCTCCAGACAATGCTAAGTTCCATCCAAGGCTGGAGTCATCTTTGTCATGAGGCAGTTGCACTGTAGTAGATACTTGGATGAAATGTGCATCCAGACTCCTGCAGTTCAGGAACATCGCAGTTCAGAATTTAGTTGGTTTCTGTTTCCATTAAAAGCTTATAATTTCCAAGATTCTCTAAAATTATTAAATGAACAAGTACAAAGGGGAGATGGGGGAGGTGTTCATCTGCCTGCCTGTGTTTCCTTCATGCAAAATAAATGCATGCTCACTTGTTTCAGAAAAATTGTTTTTGCTAGAGATCTATCTACCAGACAGTGGTTCACATGTAGGGAACACCTTTTGCAGGAGATTGAGAGCTTTTTCTAATGAGTGAAAACTCTTTAGAGTTTTTAAAGAGTGAAAGCAGACAATAGACTTTGCTTTTTAATCTAGGTAGAGTTTGCTGCTGAGATTTCGCCACAATTATTTGTTAGTTGGGATCCCCTGTTTTCAGGGAAAGAGTTCTTGTTGGGCACATGGGAGTAGCAGAGTGGACACTGGTTTTGTGAACAGGAGTGCTGAGGACACATGGCTATTGGCAGATTGGAAACACTGAGTCTTGCTTGGCCAGAGCATCAGTGCACCAGTAGGAAAAATTCCAGTCCAAATCAATATGCTCATGTAAACTCATTTAGCAGTTGTGTTTCTCCACAGGATGTTCCTGGAAGTTTGCAGGGAAATAGCTTTGGCTTTTATTTAGAGCTAATTTCTGCTAACAGGAATAACCTTTGTGCTTTTACTTGCTTATGTGTAAGTCTGGAAAATCTTGATTCCTGAGCAAGTAACATGGATTAAAGCAATAACATTTCTGGCCGAAACAGGTGACAGTGGCCAGGTGCTGCTCTGATGGTGCTGGATGACAGTGACCCTTTTCCCCTCATCTCGGCATTTTTGGATGGCAGTCACGTGGCCCCAGAGGTCACGCTGTAGAAGCTAATCCACTGCCCAAGGCATCTGCTCCTTGGCAGGCTCTGTGGACATCTGCATAGGTGGATCTACTTTCTGTCACGTGGCCAGGTACCTGGGGGCGCAGTGAGGGACCTGCTTTGCTGGTTTGTTTTTTTTTCTCTTTCCTTTTGGTTTTCTGGAGCTTCCTGAATAAACCAAGAGGCGTTTTCTTTATAAGGAACTGGCTGTACATCACATATGTCCCTCTATTGTTCATGCTGGGAGAAACTGCACTGAAACAGGATCTTTGTTTCCGGCACCTCTGTCTCTCTCCCCGTACACAGGCTGAAGTCATAGCCCTCTCTGGGAGTCGTTAACATTGGTTACTCTAGAAGCAATTGTGTTTTTGTATGCAGCTGTTTATAATTTCAGGTCTGTGAGGGAATGAGCGATGAACTTAGAGAAGCAGAGCTACTTGGGAGACTTTATGCTATTTGCTGGAAAGAAGTAAGGAAAGTTTGGGAAAGTAAAACAGCTGGAAGGCAGGGAGGTATTGCAAGAAGTGGGTAGTTGCAAAATGAACCTTATAAGGGAACAGATGCTTGGCCTCACCAAGTTTAGAGGACTAGACCTAGAAAGGCATACTAGATAATTGCATTTTACACTAGCTTGAGTCAGGGAGCGGGATGAAACGGTTTTGTAACTCTTGTAATATGCTATGAGGTGGTTAAAGCATTTGCTGTTGTTATTTTTAGGAATAGAGAAGTCTTCCCCTGTTGTCATTCACTAGCAGGATGGTAGCATTCACCTTTCCTCTCACTTCCCCAGGCTGATCTTCTGCCAAACACTTTTCCATCCTGCTCCCAAGGCTCAGCTCCTCTAGTTTTCATCACAGGTTACACACAGTCCTTCCCACTCCTTTTCGTGGGGCCGCGGGTGGCACACGGCATTGGAGTTGTGTGCTTAATGGGTTTTACCTGCTGCTTTTTGCATCCTAGGAAGTGTTCCTCTGGGCTTTCCAGCATTGCTGTCATAGTGTGGGACCTTCAAAGGCTGCAGTCACTCAGGGGTGTCTCTGGCTCAGTGAATGTTGCCCTCTTGAAGAGAGTGTCTTCAGCCCTCAGCATTTTCTCCATGTTCTCCTAATACTTGTCTTCACGTATCTTCTCACAAGTCTTCTCCATGTTTTTTTCCTGCATCTTTTTATCTGTATACAGTTCTGTGTCACCTAACTTCTCTCCTAATGGCTGCAGTTCATGCTTAAATATGAGTGGAGGTGCCACATGCTCCTTTGATTGGAGTTTTGACTCGCTGTGGGCTGGTCCCATCTGTTTCAAAGCCACAGGAGGTGGCTGTGACTGGCTCAAGGCACACTGGCTCAAGCCCACTCTGCGGGCTCTACCCACAGAGGCAACTCCCACAGCTCCTGACACTGAAACCCTGCCAGTTTTGCCCAATTTACCTCCTTTTTGTCTCTGCCCATCTCTTGCAATGCGTTACTGGATTCTGTCTCTGGGTTATCTCAGGATTTTCTTCCAAGCAACACTACTTTTAAAGTATTGGTGGTTGTCTTGTATGAGTTACATACTGGAAAAATGTAGATTTTTTTTCCCCCCTTAAACCTTTGTTCCTGGAATCACATGATTAAACTACCACTTTATTTTTAACGTGAACTCATAGCCCTTGTGCTTAAAGGAGAAATCTTCAAAATGTAGATTATAGAAAGCAAATATAAAAAGAAATATTATGGGAATTATTTTTGTGTCTTAGCTTTTGGAGCCAGTTCATAATGTGTAAGCCGTAAGGGTTTGGAATACCAGGGAAGAAGCTGCTTCTCTGTTGTCTCCATATCTGCAAAACTGTAATAATCTCTGTCACTCTTTCATGTTAGACAGATTCACAGAATGGGTAAGGTTGGCATCCCTGCTTCAGCATCATTATCCTAGAGTATATGGCACAGGATTGTGTCCAGACAGTTGTGGAGTATCTCCAGTGTGGGAGACTCCACATCCTCTCTGGGCAATCTTTTCCAGTGCTCAGTCACTGCACAGTGAAGAGATTCTTCTTCATGTTCAGGTGGAACTTCCTGGGTATCAGTTTCTGCCCGTTGTCCTATTGCTTGGCATCACCAAGAAGAGCCTGGTCCATCCCCTGACACCTCCCTTCAGGTACTGAAAGGCCTTGGTGAGGTTCCCTCTCAGTCATCTCTTCTCAAGGTTGAACAGGCCTAACTCTCTCAGCCTGTTCTCGTAAGAAACATGCACCAGTCGCTACCAAATATGGTAGTTTACATTTCAGCACATTTTTGTCTGCTTAGGTCACAGCCTACAGTGCTCTACGAATTATTAGTTGAATAGATACATGCACAGTGATAAGAATGGACTAGCTGCAAAGCATAGTCTGCAGCAATGAAGAAGAATCTGGATTTAAAAGAAAAAATGCCACTGATGTTGCTCTTTATAGAGAGTATTGTGGAAAATTAAATTTCTCAGAATCTCTGGAAATGTAAACTCTTAATTTTGAGTCTTTTCTGCAAGACATTTTTCTTAAGAAATAGCTAGCTCTGTGTTTTCCCCCATAACACTATCTTCACCTTCCTTTGGCAAGTTCAAAAAATTCTTCATGTAGCTGCTCACTCATTTCAGCTCCTTAGTTTAATAACCTCAGTACAGCCAAACCTGTCATCTTCTAATGCTAAAGTCAGAAACTATTGACCAAGAAACTAATTTCCATTCCAGGGGTGACCACAACTACACTTCAGACTTCCTGCAGACCCATGGAAATGGATCTTTTAAGTCCATGGTTTGCCCTCGAGATTTTTGTCACGTGTTGAAGCCTTGACCATCCAAAGAGTATAAACCTAAATTTTACATGCAGTGCATATGGTAGAAGGCTGCTTTCAACTACTGCTTTTTGCTGGATAGAAAATCACCACAGCTCAGCTTGGGGCCTTGCAGGGGAACATCAACACAAGGGTAAGTCTTCATGAATAAACATAATGTCGTCAGAGTTTCCCTGCTCCTCCTCAGGGGATTGTTATGACTATAGCAGAGGTCGTAGAAACAATCTCTGGACAAGGAGGGTTTGTGTTCCTTTTTTCACTACTTAAAGACACCTCAAAGGGTTATTTACTCCTGATAGCCACAGGGGTGTGGCAGCCTCACCTTGTGTTTCTCTTAGGTTCCTTGGCTTCAGCCTCTGTGTGCCTTTGGATGGGAACACCAGCCCTTCCTGCAGGTGTGACAGGATATTTGGAAAGACAGATGTGAAGGCATGGAGAAGTGTGGCTGGATCAGAATTCAGCAAAGACCACTTGGAACAGTTGCAGTGCCTTGACCCAGTGAGATAGATCTCTGTAGTTCATTTGGATGTGTGGGGAGGGAAGTTAAGCTTGAAACTTAAACCTGGAGCTGTGTGCAAGTAAGCAAGGGGTGCTTTTCAAGGGTGGAGAAACCAATTTGAAAGGTTATGTTATGAAAATATAGGTGTCAAGTGCTGTATTTGCCACTCCTGGTCAAGGCTAAATGCATTTTACATTGTTCTTAAAATTGAGGCATTTGATTTGACATGGTTTAATGGATTTGTGTGTCCTCAGTCTGCCATGAACTGACTTAAAACCAGGACAATTCCGACGTATAAACAAGACATAAAAATAAAGGAAAATAAAAAAATCTTAATAGGTTGTGTCTCTTCTTCATCTTTAGTTAGTCAGAAATTATTTCCTCTGTGCAGTAGGTGTGGTCTGTTACAGAACTACAGTGCAGCAGAAAATCTTTTTCAAATATGAAGCATGAAGGGAGGGGGGGGACATACTGTCCTGAGTATTACATGCTGACAAACACATCATTTGTTCCAACTTCTGGAATCAATTAAAACTATGGAAAATAATCTGTGTGCTCATATAAAGAAAGAAACAGTATGCAAAGCAAAGGCATGCTTTGGAAACTTTTGGAAGTTGAAGTCAGACTTGCAATTTCTGAAGCCCTGATTCATGGTTCCTGAATGTGTAGAATTGCTGATTTCAGAGATTTGACCCGTGAAGCATGAAAGGCAAGTCATCTCCTGACTCTCTGATGAGGCATGTCTTGCTTGTGCCTCATAGAAGCACAAGAAGCCCAGAAGCTCCATGTTCCCAACGTATGGGGAGGGGAGAGGTGTCCGCATTTTGTCAATTCTTTTTTCAACATCTCAAAAGCTGCCAAGGCCCTGATTTCTACCTTACTTCTTCCTCAATACCCATCTTCCATGTAGACCTTGCAGGAACGAGTCAGTCTATGAGTCAGCTGCAAATATCACCAAGCTCTTCCACATCCTTGCCGATGTCCAGGCTGTTCCCAAACACTAGTCATCAAAGGAAGTCTTTATTTCCACAGCAGTTAAATGACTAACCCAAGATCAAACAGTGGGTCAGTAGCAGAGGCGGGAACTGAAATCAGGTCTTCTGACTCAAGTTTCTCTTGGCTGTAGCCTCTGGGTTACACAGCAGAATTCATTTGTGCTGTAAGTTTCAGCAGTTGCTGAGACAAAACTTCATTTTCTTTCCCTGAGATATCGTATCTGTGTCATCCTGTTCTCTGCCCACTAGGATGCAGCTTCTTAGCATCAGACTTTGAAAAGGGAGGCAAGCAGGAGGTGTTTCTAAGTGATTTCACTCTTTTGATCGATGAGAGAGGTGAGCCAGAGTGTGTTCCAGTGGCCTCCTGCTATATAAAAGCTTGGCCTGCCTGACAGGACTTCTGGCTGCTGAGTAGCTGTGAGTCACAGCCTTTACTGCTTTGGTTTGGTGCAGATTGTTACACCAGACACTGCAGAAATGAGGTGGCCTCTCGAATATTTGCACTGCTTGGCAAGCTGGGGTAAATGGGAGTGGATTCAGGAAGTTCTGGCAAGGGCAAGCACAGCTGGTGTTAAGGCCTTTGCAGGGCTCCTTTTGTGTGTGTGTATGTGTGTGTATGAAAATAGCAAGGCCCCTGGAGTTTTTTTCCAGCCAGGGTTCCTGGGAAAGGATGAGTAATGTGGAGATTTCCTGTGACTTTCAGAGTGAGGAAAAAAACGCATCGCCTTTTGGGGGAATCTTCTTGGATCTTCCACCATCCCGCTTTTTCCCTGAGTGGCACAGAACGCCTCTTTCCTGGACTCAACGCTGCTTTGTTTATCACAGCAGCACAAGCTACGGTGTGCAAATACTGTGCTCTGCCCTTGTTTGCCTGGACAGTCCAGGATCTGATCTCTACAACTCCTATTTCCTCCTTGTGGGTGTGCTTTGGAACTTAACTCCGCGTAGGGCACAGTTACCAGTGGTCAAGGTGTGCCTGGCCTGGGATGGTGGGAGCGTTTCCCTTTCATGACTGAAAGGATCAGGCCTGTAAGGGAGGGACTATGTGGCTGCAGAGTGTTTTGCACAGCACCTTACATGGCTGGGTTCAGGTTCACGATTGAGTCAGCTGGGTGCTGTTGCAGTGTAAATTACTAAATAGGAATGACAGAAGAGATGTGGGGCTTTCCTGTTGGCAGAGGTATAAAGGAGTGAGGTACCTCAACTCTGAAATTATTACTATTTATTATTTCACTTGCAATACTCCCTGCAGACTGCCTTCAGGGACAGGTGCTCTGTTGTGCAAAGTATGTGCATGCAGGAAAGACTGAACCATTTCCCACCCTGAAAAAGGGTGTTCTCCAAGTTGTTTGAGCTCTTTGGGGGTGGGGATACTGCAGTGGTACAGGGGCCAGAGTGCAAAGTAAGGAGTGCTGCTACAACTGAGAGCCGTACACAGGCAGTTCAGACATCAGGTGTATGTCCAAAGATCTGCTTCTGTTATTTCTATATACTCATCACCACTATTTGGCCACGACTTTCTCTAACTAGTATTTCTTGATGTGTGCTTAGCCATTTCATGTTCTGAGTGCTTTACAAATACCGTGTAATTAGGAAAATAACTCTCTATTTGCACAGGCAGTTACACAACCTCATGTTTAAAATTCAGCTTTCAGAAATGTAGCCGCAACTGAAATTTCCTTATCTGCTCCTAACTCTCCCAGTTGCTCTTCCCAAAATGATTTTTCATCCCCTCAACCCCGTAACTGACTGTGATGATGGTAATAAAATGAGTACAGCCTGGGCAAATAAACTGCTTGCCTCTGCAGTGTAAAACGTAAGACTGGTAAAAGAAAGTAAGGGCTGATAGGGAGGACATGTTTTGGATTCCAGCATCAGTCCATTTGCTAAATATGCTGGGTTTTGTAGAAGAAAATCAATACAAAAGAAAGGGCTGCATCTCCCAGTGCCTGATCTGCAGTTGCTGATGACAGAACCACGGACTCAGAGGCAGCCCAGTTGCTTCACTTTCCCACAAGCCTTGGTGTTGGGGCCAGGGAAGGATTGATCCCTATGACTGCCTGGATGAAGTGTGAGCCACTGACACAAAGCTCAAGACTTGTCTCCCTATCGAAATCCGGGGTATTTTTGTTTGGTTTTGCCTTTTTATTTTTTTTTCCTTCTCCTCTCTCTCAAAGGTTAAATGGTTCCCACAGGGTGCAAGAAAGGGTTATTGAAAGCAGCAGGTCCACTTTTGAATATTGCACTTCTGGTAAATCTCTGATCCAGCATCTAGTGGTTAACCACTGATACAGGAAATGACATTTAACATTCTATCACTCAGCCAGAAATGGAAGAACAAGGCAAGTCTGTATGTGGTGAAGATGGATCATTGCCTGCTATCTATCCCTTAAAGGCATATCATGCCATTTAAAAGAAAATGTTTTTCAAGCAGGGACTTTTTTTCCTCTCTTTGTGTACCTTTCTGCTTAAGGCGTAGTAAAAAGCTGGAAAACAAATCCCCTTCTTCCTCCTTCCACGAGGTTTTCCCTGCTAAAATAGGGGCTATGGCCTTATAAACAGCTTAAATACTCTTTCCTGCTCTTTGGTATCTTTTGGAAGTGTATCCCAGGCCCTGGAGGAAGCTGGGGCCGGGTGGGGAGGTGGGGGGAGGGATGCGCGACGGGCGAGTGATGGAAAATTCGGGTTTCGGTAGGTGGCACTCGCTGCCCTGACTCAGGGCTCAGCTCTCCCGGGCATGATGTGGTGCTGCCTCTGGTCCAAGGAGTCCTGAGCAAATGTGCTGAAGTGTCAAAGAAAGAAAACGATTTAAAAAAAAAAAAAGTCATCAAAATACGGGGCCGGAACTTCAGCAAGTATAAATTGTTGCCGTTTGCTGGTTGCAGTGTAGGTGCATTGGTTCACAGCAGCAAGCACCTGCCTGTTGTCAGCACAGGCTAACCACAGCTTTCTGTCAGAGCTGCTAAAACCTGGTCTGATTACAGAGTGCATATTCAGGAAGCAAGCAAGCTTGCAAGTATGTATGGTCCAACTAAATCTCAAAAGGCTCTCAGGTCTGCCTATATAAATTCCAACAGTTTCAGATGTTTTCATGTGGAGTGAAAAAAAAAACAAAACCCGAAAGATGCAGCAAGGCACTTTCCTCCTGCTAATAGGATATGTGGGCAAACACTTTGGTGTTTTAGCTGTTCCAGAGGCCATTTTCACCTAATGACACGCTGTGAGTATGTTTTCCAGAGAAAGAGCTTCGCAGATTGCCAAAACTTTCCTGGAAGTGAGCACAGAAATACATTAGAAAGCAACATATTAAAGCTACGCCAGTCCTCCTCATCTGTGGGGCTGCATAACATGGTTTTCATGAGCCCAAGAGCAGCAAGAAGCAAAATGCTTCAGAGAGCCAGTGGGTGGTGGTGGCAGCAGAGACCTCCATGAGAAGTTCAAAGGCTACGGATGATGGCAGCTCTCCAGAAGTCCTGCTGTTCTCTGGCTTGGCTGGAAGTGAAGCAGGATGACGGGGTGAGCACTTGGATGCTGGAGAGCTGGCTTGCTCAGTCCTGCAGCAAGGATCTTGGATCCCACTAGCCATAACCTACCAGCACAGCACTCGTGTAGTAGAAGCACTGGCTTGCTCAGAATGTTTGAAAGCCATCCTTGCAACATCACACTGATGTAGATCAGGCAGAGAAAATTAAAAAAGTCTGTGACCTAGAGACAAGCTGAGATTTGTGTTCAAATGGAGGTCTGATGTGTATTGGTATGAACTGTAAATGTGGAGTAAGAATCTGCAGTCAGCTGGCATCAAAAATGGGTAAAAGAGGAAAGTGTAGTTCTAGCTCTCAGCACACTGACTGTTCATTTAGAGTCCCCATTCCTCAGCCTCTTGCTAATTTTCCTTTCAGTTGTGGAAACCTGCTTGAATATAGAATGCAAAGTGAGAAAGCTGTGGAAGCTGCTTGTAGCATAGGGATAAGGGCTCTGGAGAAGCACACGTGCATCATCCACAAAGAGCGAAGATGCACATGCATGTGTGAAAACAGATTATCAGCCCTTAATGCTGCGTATTTTTGAAACTGTTATGATGTATTTTGTACATCTGAAAGCCCACCATGCTCAGGCATCCTGGTCTGTGTAGAAAAATCTCTTCTCTCCAGCCTTGCAAATAGGGCACTGGTCCTGCCAGAAAGTCTGCAGAGACTTGAGCAGGTCTTTGACTCTTCTGAATGTTTTCCATGGAACAGTGACTGTCAGGATCAGAGCCTTGAGCTACACCTCGGGAAGTGCTAGTGTTTATCTCTACACTTGATTGCACCCAATTACTTGCTAAGAACATGTTCTTTGAAAAAAGATCTGGAGCTGGATCCTTCTCTCATTGTGACTCTGCCAGCTGCCGTCCCCAAAGCTATTTTTAATCAGACAAGCTTCTCCATCCCTGCCAAAAAACCCTCATAACAATTAATAACAATAAAATGAAGGCAGACTGGATAAATGAATTGTGCTGGCTCTATAAATCAGTTGCAAAGGCAGCTAGGGGAAGATCAGCACTGCATTGTTAATGTGCTGTCTTCCATTTTGCTGTAGCCTTGGTCTCCTGGTTCACACTTGGAACCTTTACGTTGTGCTGCTGTCGCAGGTAGGCTGGCAGGTGGGCACAAGTCCCTCTGCACAGTGTGTTGCTTTGGTTTTGCCTTGCTGTGGCTGGGAGGTGGGCATGAATGATCCTGCTTACGTGCCAGTTGTGTTGCACTGTTAAGTCCATTAATTCTGGGAGCCACAAAATGACAGGGAGCTGCACCCGAAGTAGGCTTGGTGGTTAGGTTAATTCTCGGTGCTGTCTTGTTGCAGCCTCTGGTGTGATAATTTGCCTGCAGGCGCATGGGTCGCTGTGCTGTGATCCTGTCAGAAGTTAAGCCATCTTGGGCTGGATGAGAGTGTGGACAGGAGGCCTCCAAGGACAGGCTGCCACTGAAGCATTTGCAGGCAGTGATCCCATGAAGCAGTAGGTGGTACTGTGCACGATGATGTGCTGTGGTGCTGCGGAAAGTTTCCTTGTCCAGGTACAAGCTGTTGTTGCTTTGCTCACACTTTTGTTAACCTTTGTGGTAAAAAAAACATTTCCTGGTAATTTTCAAATAAATAAAACACAAATAAACAAATAACTAAGCAAGCAAGCAAGCATAGGGGCATGAGTCCAAAGGTACTGTCCTGGACAAGTCCCAGGCTGGGTGTCTGTATTTGGTTTGCTTCTTCCTGCTGGACAACATATTTTGCCTCAACCCTGGCTCCAGACTGT